CAGAAGCTTCCCTCTATAGATAGTTTGATATACTAGGTGGCTGAGTATAGCCCCGCTAACTTCTGTAGTTGTTATGCTGTACCGCACGCACGAGTGCTGGCGGGCTTGCCTATCACACCTGTCCACGGCGCCTTACGGGCCGAGCGAGTAGGCAACCCACCCGCACTCGTGCGTGCGGTACAGCATAACAACTACAGAAGTGAGCGGGGTTAATCGGCCACCTGGTATGTAGCGCTCGCGCAGCCGTAATCGCCGATGGTCTCGAAAGTCAACACGGCAACGGCAGCAAAGTCTTTCAAGATTACGATGCCAATAACTGGATTCTCTCCGCCCCCCAGGTTCGGTGCATCACATTAATGACTTTATAAGTATCTGTCGTATCGTTTTTGCGACGCGTCTGGAAATGCAGTTACAAAAACAATACGCCCCGCCCGATCGTAATCATTGACTGACACGCGCACAAAGCCGCTCACATCAGCGCACTGCGCACGCGAGGAAAAAGGGAGAGGGGGTTGGCGGTCGGACCTGACTTGACGGCTGCGGGCGGACACGAGTCAACACAGAAATTAAATGAGGAATCATCTACGAAGAACAAAAAAAGAAGGTGACCGCCTCGGTGACCGCACAGGCACAGTGGCATTTCGTGGCGTGCGCTCCCAAACCTGAACACTGTTTGTGTACAGTCGCGTTACAAAATCCAATTTGAGTCTTTTTACGACGGTCTTTGTCCGTACTTTCATTACACAAATTCCACAAATTAGCCTCAAATATGACACAAGTGCAGGCCGTTACAACTGACTTTAGAATGGGCCTTTTGGGTCGACTACGGTGTGCTCTGCCAAGGTGCAGCCAGCCTCTATTTCTTCTTGTTTCAAAGTTAACAAAAAAGATTTTAAAAAAATTAGAAAAAACTCTACACACGCTTGAAGCGTGACGCGCAGAGTGACGTCTGAATAACACGACCACTACAAATCCGCACTACTATGTAGTATCATTGAGAAGGAGGGAGGGGGCAATCAGCTGAGCTGCACGGCAGGCGCGCGCAGAGCCGTTATTGGCAAGCGCCCTGGGGACCATTTCTACATCGTTTTGTCAACTTTATCTGTCTACGCTTCGCGTAAATGCTTAGCAGATGTATGCGCCAATAGTCTCAGGAGAGAGGGGGGGGGGGTATGCCGCATACCTGTGGCAAAACACCGCAGAGCGAAGACGAGGCGCGCGTTAGGCGCGTGGCATCGCGTGGCACTCATCAGAGGAGCGGGCGTGCGAAACGAATCGCCAGCGGAGATTCGAGAGGAGGATGATTTGTGTCCCTCGGATGAAACTGAGTAACAGCAGTAGCGACGGTATGGACCTTACAGTCGATGGGTCCGTGCCAGGTGCTGGCACGGGGCTGAGCAACCTGCCAGAGGCGCAAGAGCAGAGGTGGTCCAGATCATGTCCAGATCAGATCCAGCAGCCCGCCGCGCCCCGCGCCCGGTCGGTGGTGGTGCCGCGACAAGTTTTCTTTTTGTTGCCATTTTACGTCTTTTGGCTCCCGCTCTCGCATCCGTCTGAGACACTCGGAATGCGGCAAACTGCTGCATTCGCATCAGCAGTTAATGGGGAAAGGGGAGGAAAGGGGGTGGGGGTCGGGTTGTTACCATGGTCACTCACACACACAAACGCGCGCCCACTATCATGCACGGTGCGATTTTTCGTCGGAAAAGACTTTCCCTATCGGCCGATTGCTCTGTACTTGACTTCGTATCAGGCACCGGTTGCTGCTCACCAGATATGCTCACCGCCGGCTCACTCAGATGGTGATCGGCGAGCACCTCTCGTGGTGCGCGGGGCGGTATAGAGACGACGGCACACAGAGATCGCACGCGCTGCGCTGCGCTCACCTGCTCGGCGCCAGTACGACGTCCACCGGCCCCGGCGTTTCTCCGAGCCCAGGAGGCTGTCCGTCTCGCGGAGGTCCCCGAGGCTGGCGCTGGACGCCGGGCTGGCCGCGGGGCTGGCCGCGGGGCTGGCGTGCGGGCCGCGCGGGCACGCGGGCGGCTCCCAGCTGATGGAGGCCCACATGGCTGCTGCGGGTGCGGGCGCGCACTGCCCCGGGGCCCGCCCCGACGGCCGGCGGCGCACCTCAGGCTCGCCACCGGGACCGGACCGGACCGCACCGCGGGCAACGCGATCACACCGCGTCCGAATGTTGTGGGCGGAAAATGCCGATACGAGTCGCGTCGGCGACGGCGGGAGGGCGGCTATCTCCTCCCTCCACAACAGCCCTATCGGCGTGGATTTGACCGAGGAGTCATGTAACGGCGGCGCGGGGCGGTGACCGCCAGGGGAGGCCAGGAGGAAGGCGTTCAACGCCGTTAAGCGCGGGGGCTCCGCCGGCCCCGGGCCCCGGGCGCCTGGCTGGCAGCCGCGCGCGGCGTCCGCGTCCCCGGGCTGCACCTGCGTCACCAGCCGGGGACCCTGGGGCTCGGCCTGGACCGAGCCGTCCCCAATGGGCTGGTCGGCCTGCGGTAATTCTCCCCCTCCGCCCCCTCCGGCCCGCACCGACGGGCTGCTCGAGTTGTCGCCCTGGTTGTTGTGCGTCCGGTCCGGAGCGGCCCCCAGAGAGCCGCGGCGCAGCCGCGCCCTTGGACAGGAGCCGAAGTGACGATAAAGACGATTCGATGCGCGGCGCTCGGCGGCAGGGGGGGGGGGGGGGAAGGACCCGATCGACCGTGTCCAATGTTGTACACTGGCTCACCTTTTATTTTGTACACACACATTTTTTTTTCTGGTTCGGGCCGACTCGGTCGCGCCGTGTTTAAGATACGTACGCGATACGCGGAAGAGTTCTCACGCGATTAAAATATAACGCAA